CTTGAGCCTTGGGAATAAGGGTCAACACGGACATTTCTTTATGTGCTCTCACATAGTAGATGTTCTATTTGCCCTCATTTTTAGTTTAATAGATATTTTCTAAGTTTCTCAAAGTACTGCAGGTAGCTTGGCAACTCTGCTTCATGGAGAGCAAGCAGGATATACTGTGAGTAGTTTGGCATATCGCTCTCTTCATGTAGAGCAGACAGTGTGGACTGCAGGAAGCTCAGCACCCTGCTCTCTTTACGGGGAACAGGCGGTGCTCTTCTGCCCAGGAGTTGGCTGAAGCTCTTTCATGTCAGATGCCAGAACTTCTGATGTTTCTGGGGCTTGCCTATGTCTGAGTAATGGGGTCACGCACTAGACAGTATGTGAAAGACCCTGGGTATCCCCCAGCAGTCACTGGTCACCCTTCCAGCACCTACAAACCCTCTTCCTCTTTAAGACTTGGAGGTTTAGCTTTGAAGTGGTTTCTGACCACTCAAATAAGTAAACCTCAAATCTTCAAACAACCATTGATTCCCACTGACTTAGAAAATAGGAGCTTCTTGAGGGTGGGGCCTGTAGTCAACCTATGACAACATCATCATTGGATACATTGTGATGGTGAAGGGCTCATGGCCATCTCAACTGTACATTACCTACTGAGAACTACCAAATGATTTGTAAGGCTACAGATGCAGCCACCAGCCCTGTGCCCTTCTCCTGCCCACAGCAGATCCTGCGTATAAACCGTGTTATTCCTTCCTGAGCCTGGGGGACCAACACCTCTTCTAAACCCAGGGTTCCGGGAAGAGCTAAGGCTTAGGAGTCAGCAGATGAACTGGAACTATTCATTGACTCAGTTTCTTCTACTAGTTCCCAAGGAACCTGAAATGTAGACCGAGATCTGAGGCCTAGGGCAGTACTTAGTGAGCCCTTGGGTACAGTGGAGCTGGTGGTTGACTCCCTGTACCAAGTCTCTTGAACACACTAGTTGTGTGTACATTTTAAGATAATCACACCCACCTTACAGCCTGATATGTCAATGGTGACAAACTGATAAAAAATATAGCTGTTATATTAAAAATACTGCATCAAAATGCAAGTTTTAAAAATGGATGATGGCAGTTCTCATTGGGAAGGGCTTCGTTCGTGTCACGGTGCATTTAGGTGTATCTGTCTGTGTGACAGCAGTAGCTGAGTAAGCGGTGAGCGAATTATCCCCTACAAGTAATTCCTTTTAAATGTTACTTTTTAAAAAATAACCCTAAGACTAATAGCATCCGGCATGCATGAGCATGTATCTACACATATACATAAGCATCCAACTGAATCTTCAAAATCATAGAGTATTAGCTTCCTTTTACTGCTGAAGAGAAAACCACGCTCATGGTGCCCCAATAACGTGTGGAGTGAAAAATATACATATTGTGAGCCAAATATCACAGCACTAGCCTAATCCATCTGGGTGTGTTTTCTGACCGGAAAGTAGTTCTCCATCTGGGGGGCTCTGAGCATCATTTTTTTTTTTGACATGGTTATTGGTCTTTCTTGGTGAATTTAAATTGAAAATTCACTTCGAAGAAATATACCTTGAAGAAAGGAACCAGGAAGAGTTATAAAGGCACCTGAGCTAATCACAGAATACTCTTTTTAACATAGCCTCTCTCCCTGTTGATGGTCTATGAGACCTTGGCAGAATGGAAAGGCGGTCGGGGGGATGGTTAGAGCAAGTGGCTCTTCACCTTGTTGAGAAGCAAGGAGGCCAGCATCCATAGCTGAGCCTTGGGTGGTACCTTTCTTGAAGAGAGCATTGCTAAGCACTGAGCCTCTAAACAGACAAGTATTATACAAGCAACTCCCTGCCCTTTGTGGCAAAGCAGGGCCTGTCCCACTTGGAACCCACAGAGGTGTGACAAAGAAGAGTGGCAACCATGGTGTGGAAGAGATTCTGTGTCTATTGAAGTTCTAAAGAAAGCAAAGTTGTTCCATCAGGGAGCAGATAAGGGCTACCCTCATCCAGAGTTTGGGGAAATCATGAAGGAACTTGGGAATCGTGGGCATGCGCCATGTTGTAGGCACAGTCATTGTTAGGTGGTCATGGATCCATCAGAATTCTCAGAGGGCTCCGTTTTAAATTGCTGGGTTTTAGTGTATAGAGGCCACGTCTTATTAAAATGCATTTTTAAAAAAAATATGCAACAATCTGGAATAGCATTTCAGGTCTTTTGTTTCTGACTCAGACTAGGCAAGAGTCCAGCACCTTTTGGCAGTAGAAAAGAATCACAGCTATGGAGGGAGGTGTTCTGTAAAAGAGCAGTAGCCCAGACGCTGTGTTCATGAGTTGGCAGGACGCGACTGGATATGTTCCATCCAGGATACGGCTCTTAGTCTCTCGAGGTCTCTGGACATCCAGAAAGTGGGTCATCTTTCAGAATATCTGCGTCACTGCGGAGACGCTGCTAGTAAATCAGAGATGAGCTGGATCCACTTACCTGCCTGGCAGTACTGTTAATCCCTCCATTCACTGAGCAGGGAAGGACCGTGTTGTGACTGATTACTTTCCCTTGTTTCGGGGAGTTCGTAGTCGCCCCGCAGGTGATTATACAGCTACACATTAAACCTGGGCTTTGGAAAAGCAGAGTTGAGTCCCTGCTTTGTCCCAAATCTCAAGAATTTTACACTGAAACAAGTATGTTTACAGAGAATTGGAATCCGAGTGAATTAAAATATGGAAGCGGTTGTTTTAACAATAAAATTATTTTGCCCAAAATATTCAGAGGTCAAAGCAAGCGATTGTTCTGGGTTGGAGTCTTCAGATAATTCTGCTTTGGCCGTTAAGTGGCAGAAAGCCAATTTAAATGCTTTGGGACAATAAGGACGGGCTCATGTGTCTGGAAGTCTAGACCCAGCTGGGTTCAGAGGTGTCCTAGCCAGGGTCTGGGTGACTCATTAAAACTCTGCTTATCCCTCTCCCCACCCTGAACAGCCAGCTGCGTTCTCAGTCTGGTTCCCTGAGGATGTGGGGTGTCTGCTAAAATCTAGTTGGGCCCACTATTTTGTCATTTTTAGATTCCTTTGGGTGTCTCTGAATTAAGGGAAGTAAAGGATTTTTTTCCAAAATAAGAACCATGAATGAGATGATCAACCTACACTTTTAATCAGTATCATGGTTCTTATGAGTTAGGGAGACTATGGTGATTTTTTTTCTCTTCTTCTTTTTTTTTTTCCTGTATATATCCTCTTTTAAAACCAGCTAGGTAGTTATCATGTGGGCATGAGGACATGAACTCCATGCCCAGAACCCACATAAAAAAGCTGGGTTGGTGCTGTGTGCCTGTGACTCTGGTTGGGAGGCCTATGTTTGAGCTCCAGGTCAATGAGAGATGCTCTCTCGAAAAATGAGGTGAATGCCTCCTAAGGAATGACACCAGAGGTTAACTTTTGGACTCCAGGTGTGTGCTGGGTGGCCAGTGTGAGGATGTGGATGCAGTGATGTCAGTGGCTCTCGGGGCTGAAGAGAGAGGAGAATCAAGCCTGACTCGTGGGAAAATCTGACCTGAAGGAAAAAGACGCCCCGGCCAAGCTGGTCATGATGTGTCTATGCGGGAGACATCCTGCTATTGCGTGTTATTTTCATCTTGAAATTAAGATCCTTTTTGAAAAATCTAAATGATTTGACTCAAATCTAATTTACCTAAATCATTTTAGGCCAGAATTAACCTTTTCATGTTTGAACTGGAAGATTCCATTTTAATTTTGATGTTCTTTAAAACGCACATGGAAATGGCCACCAACCATAGAACGCTTATGGTTAGAAGACTCCTCCACACTCCACAGCAGTGTGGGAGGTCAACAAGAGAGGAGTTCCCGGATACAGGTGTCAGATACTGACCTGTACCCTCTGCTATTTAGTCCTTGTGGTCTTGACTTTTGCTGAATTTCATTGACAACAGGGGTTGGGAACCTTCTATCAAATTGTCCAGAGATGGGAGTATATGTATCTAGGTGCAGGTGGGAGACTAAGGGTCCTGAGGTTACATGGTGCATTTTCTAAGCATCGTATATGAGATGGGAGAACTAGGCTGCCAAGCCCATTGTTGTGAGAGGCTAGAAACCGAAATCAAATGGGGATCCCAGTGTCCTACATTCTCCTGTGCTTGCCTGCCTCAGACAATGCACAGAAACGCTGTGGGAAACACTTGATAACGACCTGACTATATCACTGTCATCTGTGCGTGCCTACCCTCTACTTGGTATCCTTGCCTTACTCTGAAGTGGTGAAGTCGAGAACATAAAGGGAAATCCCTCCGTGGTTCTGTTCTGCTGTCATTTCTGCTGCTATGATAAAAATGCCCCAACATGCACCGCTTAGAGAGGAATGGTTTTATCAGGCTCACAGTTCCAGGTTACAGTCCATCAGTCCGGGGAGCCAGGACAGGACCTCAAGCAGCTGGTCACGACATAGCCACAGTCAAGAGAAGACAGGATATATGAGTCCTTGCTTGGTCCTGGGCGTCCTTTCTGATCACCACCAACATTCAGAGTGAATCTTCGCACCTTGATTAGCCATCAAAACAGCCCCGCACTGGTGTGTCTGCAGGCCAACATGATCTCGAAATTCCCTCACTACGACTCTCTTTACAGGCGTTTCTAGGTTATGTGAAGCTGACAGTTCAACAGCATAATACCCTTACGTTGAGGTTTTCTGGGAAACAGGTGTTAGCTGGGTGCTGAGAGGAAAGGTACATGGTGACGTAAGGGGAGCGGGATCTGAAACAACTTAGCACCAGTACTGGGTTTATCCTCAGACATTTGCCTGAGTTAACTGCATCTCTGTGGGTCCGACCTACTGAAAATGCTGGAAGACAAACTCTTCTGTGCCCAGTTTTGAAGATGGAATTGTGAAGGGCCCAGAAGTCCAGGAACATCACTTTAATTTTGTTCGGTTCACACGCTTACACTATGTAGGTGTACCTTGCTATAACATGGTACTGAAGTCTGTCCCTCTCGTTCAGATCACTGTTACAGATGAAGAAGTTAGCAACCCATCCTTTCTAGACCTTGTGAGGACTCCGCAAATGAGGAAGTGCACACTCATTCTGATGTTTGCTTGGTAAGTTGACTTGGGCTGACTTTCGGAGCTGGTGGTCAAGTGCGCCATTTCCTTCTGGTCGCGGACCCTATTCTCTCTCACTTCGTCTTTCAGGTTCACAAGCGCCGTGGTGTACCAAGGACTCGTCATGCGCCTGGGAATCGTGGGAGGCAACCTCTACATCGACTTCTTCATCTCGGGGCTCGTGGAGCTGCCTGCAGCCCTCTTGATCCTTCTGACCATCGAGCGTCTTGGACGACGCCTTCCTTTTGCAGCAAGCAATATAGTGGCTGGGGTGGCCTGCCTGGTCACCGCGTTCTTACCAGAAGGTATCTTCCTTCACGTTTAGCTGACAGTTCTCAAAGAACTTACCAAAAATGTAATGACTGCATATGGTGGAGCAGGTGGGGGTCACTTGTCTTTATAAGCTGTGCTATCTATTCAAAAGCTTGGGTGATGTCATCCTATTTTCTTTCTGGATGCAAAGATCGAAGACAACTTTACATCAATCTTTGCTGAAATGTCAGGTTTGTTTGTTGATGGGAATGGGATTGCTAGGTCTAGGTCATAGTGATGTCATGTTAACGTATTTCCCATACCTACCATGCTGCAGACACCAAGCTTCACCCCAGGTTAGGGACAGAAAGATGATGGGGCTCTTGGCTTCATTTGGCTCACAGCCTGTTGAGAGACATAGACATTTTCACAACATCACAACAAGAATGCGGTAAATAGAATTGACAAAGGTGGGGGAAAGGAGGGTGAGGGAGAGGAGGGCTGAGGAAGAAGTACTGTGTAGACCCGAGGGAGAAGCCAGAGCTCTTTACCAACTACCGTTTCCTCCCGCTATTTTCCCAAAACATAAAAAGTTGTCATGAGTTCAGGAACTTAGGCTTCCTTGTGATTGCTGGAAACTGCATGAGGAAGTCAGAGGAAGGTCGGTCCCCAGCACGACTGTCCCCACAGGACATGGCAGGACCTGGTGCTGCCTATGAGCTCCTGGAGAGGGGAAAGAGAGCTGCTCACACCTGTAGCGCTTTGGGGTACGGCAGGAGGGGGAGACGCCAGAGCCTGGCTCACAGCTGGGGAGTCTGGCTGGGATGGAGGAGGATGGCTCCTTTTAGAGGTGTTGTGGAGGTCAATATTCTGGGGCTTGAGGGCTGCTGGGTGGGGGTCAGGAGGAGGAAGAAAGGATAGAAAAAGACTCTAGATGCTCAGTCTGCAGCCAGATGACCTCTGCCACAGAGCACAGCTGTAGCTACAAAGAAGCCATTCGGACCCCCCAGCAAGGTGTGAATTGGAGCACAGGAGGTATTTCTGTATTCTGGGTGTGCCATGAAGGCTTTACAGGAAGCAGGGTTCTCCACAGTCCCTGTGCTTACTAAGGAAGCCGACCGTCTCTGAGAATACCAAGGGCCAGGAAAGACATGGCTAACGTGGAAGAGATCAGAGCAGACACGCACAGGAGACTTGGTTAACATTAGACACCTGTTTATGAATTCCTAAAGTAGCAGTTAGACTTTACTTGGATAAAAACTACAGAAACGCCAGCCCTCAGGACAGAAAAGGTAAATGACGTGCAATTCCACCCTGCTGCCGTGGCTGAGGAAGAGCAGAAACACGGGCTTCTTCCCTTTTCCTCAAGTGCTTCCGACTCCCCGGACCACAGCAATGAATCTCCACCAGGCGGGTGGCTGGACAGCAGACACCCCTCCCTACATCCCCCACTCTTGACGCAAGGAGGGTGACCTCTAAAAGCACAGTGCCTGGCGGCTCCTCCCCGAGCCTCTGAGCGAGGGGCAGCATCCTAGCCTCTCTATGGTCACCCTCATCTTTCTTCCTTTCCCTCCAATCTCTGCCTCTGTCGTCACGGGACACACTCTCCCTCTTGGCCTCTGTCCCCTACTGTGATCGCATTGCAAGCTTCTAAGTAAATATGAATCCAAAGAAACACAAATAGCCCACAACACAGTTAGTGTTTCTTAAGAGCTATGGAAGCTGGAGCCGGAGAGATGGCTCAGTGATTAAGAGGACCCGCTGCTCTTCCAGAGGATCTAGGCGCAGTTCCTAGCACCCACATCAGGCAGCTCCCAGACACCTGTGACTCCAGCTCCAAGGTATCTGATGCCCTCTTCTGACCTCCACAGGCAGAAAGACAGACAAATAAAAATAGAAGCACTGCAGAAGCTAAGTAATAACCAGCCATCAGTGTGTCAGTGTGTATGTATTTAATATTGATTAATTGCTGGCCACTAAACAGAGAAAGGAATGGAAAGGAACGAGAGAAACATAATTGCCTTTCTCAGAGGTACACAATTTTGATTAAAGGGTAAAAATTTAAGAATGTTATAGAATTCTGAGCTTCACAATTCTCCCTCCTTTCCTCCTTCCTTCTCTATGCCCCTCCCTCCCTCCCTCCTCTCTCTCCTTCTCTTTCAGTCTATATGTATTCGTGTGTGTTGATGTGTGCACAAGTGCTCACGCTGGTGTGGGTGTTCCCAGCCATGTGCAGACCAGAGGTCGGCATGGGTGTCCTCTCTCAGCTCCATCTGTTTGGTTTCTTGGGACAGGGTCTCTCACTGGCCTGCGGTTTGCTAAGCAGCCAAGGCTGCCTGGCCAGTGAGCCCAGGGCTCCCTGTCTCCACTTCCCTAGTGCCGGGACTTCAAGCCCCTCCCCGTGCCTCACTTGACCTTTTTATGGAACGCCTGGACGTCAAGCCACCATCCTCATAAGTGCTTTTAGAGTCCTAAGTCTGCGCAATGATGGGCCAGAAGAAGTTCCAAATTCCCAAAACGAATTCCATCTGTGAACAGAAGCCCCTCCATCCAGCGAGTGCTCCTTCCGATTTTAAGGACTCTTGACTCCAGGGACCAGGGAGGGACTGTGGAATTAACATTTGGAAAGTCTTTCTAGCTGCCCTTCCCGGCTGGGCTTGACGTCTCCTCAGCCCCTGGCTAGAATGCTGCCAAGCCTTTTGGAGAGGTCAACTCTGAAAGTTAGTTCTCTGAAAACCTTACTTTTTATGGTCTGAGAATGAACTTGGGAAAAAGAAATGATCTTCGCTGCTAACTCTTAGATTCGCTGTCTAGAAAGCAGAATCCTGGAGCCTGGAAAGAAAGGGCTTTCTGTCATGCACAGCCACCTGTCACCGCCACTTGTTTCTACTCAGTGTGGCAGCAAACCTAGCCGTGCGGCAAGTCCCCCTCCCAGAACGAGACTATCTTTTACTTTGCTTTCCGAGTGGAAAGTGCATGCGTCTGTCTACCCCAATTTACATATCTTTCTTAGGACTTTTCTTTAAACTTTATTTCAGGACTCGGAGCAGATGGTACATCCATGAGAGAGTGAAAGCTGAATCTTTTAAAATTCTATATCTTTTCTTCAAAAGCCGAGTTTCAGGACTCTAGCTGCCTGAGCAAGTCCCCATCATAGAGGAGGATCATTTCTCTGTGTTCATACATGACTGTGGAAAGTGACTTTAGATGCTGTGGTCATTGTTCATCTATGTGAGCATGTGTGGGAAGAAAGAGAGACAGGCACACACACACACACACACACACACAGAGAGAGAGAGAGAGAGAGAGAGAGAGAGAGAGAGAGAGAGAGAGAGAGAGAGAGATTGTGCATCAATGTAGCCCAGACTGACCTCAAAATTGCTATATAGCTGCGTATGACCTTAACTGTAGTCAGATTTTCTTTTCTTTTTGGATCTCCAGGCACCAAATAATGACATGGAGACTTATTATTGTTATTATTATTATTATTAATTAAAGTTTGGCTTTTAGCTTAGGCTTGTTCCCAATGAGTATTTATATCTTAAATTACCCTGCTTCTATTAATCCACATTCTGCTGTGTGTATGTGTGTGTGTTTACCTGTCCTCCATTTTGCATGCCCGACCCCCTCTGTGCCTCACTGGCATCTCTCCCACATGCCTGGATTTATCTTGAGTTTCTCTCTTTGCCTGAAAGTTCTGCCTAACCTCTTCTGCCTGTCTATTGGCCATTCAGCTCTTTATTAAACCAATCAGATGACTTATACAGGCAAGGCAAAAACAGAACACATCTCTACACAGTTTTCTCAAATATCCCACAACACTTAACTTTTAAATCCTCCTGCCTCTACCTCCTGAGTGCTGGTCTTCCAGATGCCACCAAGCCCAGTTTATGTGTGTTAGGATGGAACCCAGGACTTTGTACATACTGGGCAAACATTCTGCTAGCTGAGCTACATTCCCCCATCTTTGATATTTTTTAATTTGGTTTGTTTTTACCATCAAAAAATATCTATTATCAGAATAATCAATCATTTTCATTTCCATATGTAATTGTGCATAATCTACATCTGCTAATGAACTGTTTTCGAGTTAATGTAGTATGGTATCTTTGGGACTTCTTTCCCTCCCAACGAAAGCTCTGTGCCAGTGTAGTATTTGAGAAAAATAGCTGAAAGTCTTTAGGCCAAGGTCTTGTAGGACAGACCACTTCTGCAGAGGATGTCAAACTGATAACACTTCCTGTTCTATCGAATTGACTAGTTATTTATGAATTAACCAAATTTTTTTATGATGGTGGTGATGGTGGTGTATAGGAAGAACATGGATGTGTTTTAAGTTGGTTTCTTAGTCTTTAATTTTTTTCCCATTGAACAATGTAAGCCTCAGTTATAAACCTCAATAGACATTGAACTTGGTGGGACTCACAACCGCCATCTTGCTATAGTAAGAAGAGGGTCTGCCTGAGGCCCCTACCCTGGATAGTGGTTTCCATGGAAGCAGACAGCCTCCTCTGTGGCTGCCCTTATCATCCCATCAGCTGCGACCCAGGGCATCTGGGTGAGCTTCCGCTTTCCCCCTCCATTGCATCTCCAGCAGCAACTGCTCACTGACAGACAAGGGTGGAATGCATTTCCTAGTCCCCTATGGCTCTCACGAGGATGCAAAGTCTAAATAAGAGCCACGTTTACAGCTGTCCTGTGTCTGAGCAGGTGGCGGCCCGGAACATGAGCACAGCTCTGACCTTCCTCACTCCCCAAGTTAACTACTGTTGCAGCAACTGCAGGTGTCCCATCTGCAAATGCAGCGAGTGCATGGGATGTCCCCAACCAGCTTGCGACTAAATCTTAATCCTCTGGAGCTTCCCAGCAATGGTCTGGGCTCTCAAAACCTCGCTCTCTGTTTGCCTACCTGACAGATGTTTGTGGTTTGGATTTTTAATTTGTTGAATATTCTCAAGAGTGAGCACACACTGCTGAGCTTAATTTCTTCTTTCATCATCTGTGTTTGTGATAACTTCTCCATAAAAAAAAATGGGGCTAGGAGGTGGTGGCACACATCTTTAATTCCAGCACTTGGGAGGCAGAGGCAAGCAGATCTCTATGAGTTCGAGGCCAGCCTGATCTACAGAGTTCCAGGACAGGCTCCAAAGCTACAGAGAAATCCTGTCTCAAAAACAAAACAAAAAAAAAGAAAAAAAACACAAACTATGCCTTGTGTGGTAGTGTATGCTGAGAACACTAGAATCCAGCACTCAGGAGGATGACACAGGAGAATTGAGAGTTCAAGACCAGCTTGAGCTTGACTTTGTCTCAAGAAATGAAGGTCCTTATCTAACTCAGGGGTGAGCACTTCCCTGCCATGCATAAGTCCTGGGTTCAAGCCTCAGCACAACAAGACAATAATGCCTAATTACACCTTCAGGGAGATGCAATGTTTGCTAAGAGATGAGAGAATGATCTGGTGTGGTGTGAACCTCTGTGCAGAGATGCTGGTACCCCAGCTGTGTATCAACCAGCAGATACAGTCTCCATTCTGTCCCATGCCCTCATAACTCTAGGATAGGATGACATACATTGCATAACTCATAAGACATTCATAAGGCCTGACTGTTTAGAATTAAAATGTTGCATTTTGTCTCCCTTAAAACTGAAGAAAGTGTTTCCTGGAATATTTGCTGTGTCCCATTGCTACAGTAGAAGACAGGTTGGGGCAGGGGTCTTCATCCAGTAAAAGCAGATGGTCCTAAAGCAGTTTATTTTTTAAGGTGAGCCAGTTATGTGTATGAAACTGGCTTCCTGGAGGAAGAGCATGGCTGGGGATGAAGGCAATGAATGACACACGCCATGGGGATAACACGGAACCAAAGTCCCTTTCCCAGGATCCCAGTTCTCAACCTTCTTCCTCACTGGAAACCAGCCTAGCTAAGGAGAACACCTCTCTGGGTCTGTGCAGAGTGAAGACAGACATCTGACTGTAGCCATGGTTTTCAAGGGGACAAGAGGGACTTCCTTCCAGATCAAGGCCAGTGCTTGGCCTCTCTAGGACGGCACTACCTGGGACGTTATTTAGCATAGTGATCGCTCAGCAAACAGCTCTTAATTGTATTTCTATAGCCAATTCTGCACTCAGGAAAGCATCTTCCACACACTAAATGGTAGCTATCAAGGTGGGATTAATGTAATTTGTCTATAATATAAAGCTTTTGCCATTTGTTCTTAAGTTATCAACGATTTAGGTTGGGGAGACCAATGAATGTGTTTTGTTGTTTTGTAAAATGTCGCTGAGCTCATTAGAGCCCTAACTCTCCCCTTCTACACATTCTGTTCACAGGGATACCATGGCTAAGGACCACAGTTGCTACCCTGGGAAGACTCGGGATAACCATGGCCTTTGAAATAGTTTATTTGGTAAATTCAGAGTTGTACCCGACAACATTACGGTAATTCTGGCAATTATATTGCCATTTCTCCTAAGAAACTATAGCCAAATGTTTCCAGGGTTGCTGATCTATTAACTAGGGCTCAGTTCATCCCCTTAAGACAATGGGCTTTGAGTTGTAGCTTCCGCTCATTACCTGCCACATTTGGTGACTTAGAAATATGTCCAGTGGCTGTAACTGGAGACAGAACTGTGATTTTTTATTTTGGGGACCAGAAAGTCTCCTAGAATGCCTGCTTAGATGATAAGTTGGGTCTGCTCCATCAGCAGCACCCTGTATCGAGGCGAAGCCTTTTCTGACATCATCTCTTGCTTGTGAGCAGCTGGCTACAGAAGGCGTGTTCATGGCTCATGCAAGTTGGCTTTCTTGCCCGATGCTATATTTCTGCAGGCCTAGCTTGCAGGGTACCAAAGTGACCTCTGAGTGTCATGGACTGGCAGGCTATGGAGCTGCTGATGAAGAAACATCTTTTCACCAACACTGGAGATATTCAGTCACTAGTCTCACTGCTTGACAGTACAGAACGGGAGTGGCTTGTTTAGAGCATGAGGCGGTAGTAGCTTTCAAAGCCGAAAATGATAGAAAGTATTGACACAACTTCTGTAATTTAGTATATCTGGATATTTCTATTTTTCTGAGTTTGTTTTTGCAAACTTCCACCTGAAAGTATGTTTTAATCCGCAGGAACTTTGGGGTTTCACTCTGCTCAGGCTTGTGTGACTTTGGGGGGATCATAGCTCCGTTTCTACTCTTCCGACTAGCAGCTGTGTGGCTAGAACTACCTCTGATCATCTTTGGTAAGACTTCATTCCTGTGGGGGTGGGTCCGAGTGAGTGGAGGGGTGGGGCACATGTGTATGTGGTTGCGAAGGCACATGTGTGCACATGCTTGCAGAGGCCAGAGGTCAACCTCTGGATTGTTTCTTGGGAGCTAGCCACCTTGTTTAGCAAGACAAGGTCTCTCATGGGGCTCAGCCATTGGACCAGGCTAGCCAGCCAGTGAGTCTCAGGGGTCCATTCACAGAACTGTAATTATAAGTTTTTGCTACCATGCTACCACCATGCTACTATCAATCATGCTACCGTCACGCTACTATCATGCTACCGTCACGCTATCATCATGCTACCGTCACGCTACTATCATGCTACCGTCACGCTACTATCATGCTACCGTCACACTACTATCATGCTATCATCATGCTACCGTCACGCTATCATCATGATACCGTCATGCTCAGCTTTTTACTTTTTTTCTGCAGCTATAGCTCAGGTCCCCCCTGCATGCGTGGCAGACTTTTACTGACCCATCTCCATGCGGGTCTCACATCTTCTCACTTGTTCATGCATTACAGAACCTGTAGTGGTCACTGGGTTAGATGTTGCTGACATCCACCCCATCTTCTGATGGTGGTTTCACTTCTAAAGAGTCAATCTTGTTATCATTACATTCAAAATGCTAAATGGCTTCAAGTCACTCTACCTTAACAGGATGTGATAAACAGTGTCTGTGTCAGCTTCTGTCGTGAGGTTCTGAGTTAAAATCAAACACTGTGGAATTCTTCGATGATGTGGAAGAGGAAAACATCCATTTCCAGGGACCATATTTACCTTCACTGCCTTATGTTTAAAGATGGGCCTGAAAGCTAATTGTACTTCCTAAAATATTCAATGTCTAAATTTGCTTCGATACTGCTTTTACATGTACCGTGATCATCCGTGCCCCTCATGCATCCTGTCTGAGGATACTGTAGACTGGAGGCCCCACTGTCCATCCTGTTCTAGTGCCTTGTGCAATGAGGCCAGGTTGGTGGCTTGAAGTGTGCACACAGCAGCATTGACACTCTGGGGACGGGCAAAGCCAAAAGTCAGCTCTTTATCCTCAGGAGCCAGTTGGTAAAGCTTACCAGCTCATCACCTAGTCCGTGACGATGGAGAAGAAATAGCAGAGAATGCTTTTCCCAGAAGTTTGGCTCTCAGGAACAGCAAAGGGAAGCTGGGCAGTGATGGCACACTCCTTTAATCCCAGCGCTAGAAAGGCAGAGGCAGGTGGATCTCTGTGAGTTCGAGGCCAACCTGGTTTACAAGAGCTAGTTCCAGGACAGGCTCCAAAGCTACACAGAGAAATCCTGTCTTGGGGGAAAAAAAAAAGCAAACAAAAAGAACAGCAAATGTAGAAGGTAGCCAGGGGTTGGTATGGGGTCAGTAGCTCGTGGAAGAAGAGGGTTGGTGTGTTTGAACGTGTCTGACAACAGACTGAAGATGTCTGGGAAGTAGATTAGACACTTCAGTGAGGGGTCCCCAAAGGCAGGCACAGCCAAGGCTTTGCCCCAAAGAAGAGAGTGGCCCTAGACAGTCATGTGACTCTAGACTGTAATGCGGTAGGAGGGTCACAGAAAGATAGTAGGTAGAGGGGGCTCCTGTGCACTGACTCTGTCTTCCCAGTGTACAGAAGAGGCCCGGAGTGTCTGCAGCCTGGCAGATGCACTGGAAGCATAGTCACATAACACAAACATGGAGCCTCACAGCCTGCATGGTGGCACCCGTAAGACTGCATCGCCTAGCGATGGCACGGCTGCCGTAGCTTACCTGCGTCCACTCTATCTGTGGTGGTTACACAATGAAATCGCTACGTTTCACAGTGTATGTCCCTACGGTTACATGATATCTGAGTGTCAGTGCACACCAGGAGCACAGGGACCATGAGCTGTGCAGAACTGAGGAAGGTGGTCATGGTGAGCAGAGGGGTATGGCTGCTGAGGGCAGGTGAGGTCAGGAAGTGAGCGTAGCGGTGGGAAGGGACAGTCTGTGTGTTCCTAGGTGGTCATGTCTCTCCTCATCTGGCAGGCATCCTGGCGTCTATCTGTGGAGGCCTCGTGATGCTTTTGCCTGAAACCAAGGGCATCGCCTTGCCGGAGACAGTGGACGACGTGGAAAAGCTTGGCAGGTACTACGTGATTCAACACTCCCTAAATGAAAGCTTCCTGTTAAGCCACGGGGCATTGGTTATCCACAAGGGAAATCACATTGTCTTCATTTTATACCTTAAAACATTCAAAAGATTAAAAAGGTTAATGCAGAAGATCTTAGAGCTATAAAAAGAATGTGGGCTATTTTTAAAATGTGGCTGAGAAGCGTTTCCTAGTAAGGTGTTAAAACTCGAAGTGATTTAAACCAGGGCTGATGAAGAGACCGTGACAACGCCCAAGTGTGCATCAGCGAGGAACTATCGGGAAGATGGCACCGCATCAGAATATGGGCCACCCTGAGATGAAAAGTGGTGTCTGTCCCGTGGACCAACACCCATGTTCCTCGAGATCCATTACAAAGGGGAATGCAAGCGGTGGGCGTAGCATCATTTCAAAGGATTATGATACGGGAACATATATGACAGACAAAAGAGAGCTGGAGCACTGATAGATAGGAATAAAGAAGATAAATGATAGTACCTAGAAATTAGATAAAAAGACAATAGATAAATGATTTGTCAATAAGTACATAAGTTAGAAATAAAGATAAGAAAGACAATAGATAGGTAGATATATGGATGACTGGAGGATGGATGGATAGATAGATAGATAGATAGATAGATAGACAGACAGATAGACAGAATAGATAGACAACACGAGAGAGATCAAGCTTTGGAGGGAATATCTATATCATTTCTGGTTATATATTAATTCACTTCCAACCACTACTTAAATTTGAAGAGTTATATCTACAAAAAATTTTATGTGTACAATTTTTTACCATTTCTTCTGAAATATTTCACAATACAAAGATAGAAACGTGAATGTATAATAATTTTTAAAAATTGTCCAGCAGTAATCTCCCCCCGTGGGAAAGGACAGGAGTGGGAAGAGTGTAGGAGGAGGGTCAGCCTCAAAGTCCACATAATTCTGCAGTGTTTGAGATGACATGGTCTGATGTTATTTGCATACTTAACAAATAATTTGGTGCTATAGTAAAGTAACATATTAAAGGTAATAACTAATCTCACTGAGACAGAAATTAAGGGGAGACATCTAAATTGTAAAAGTGATCAAATATATGCGTTTTTAAAAGACTCAGTTTTGTTCCTTTCAAGGCACTGTTTTTCCTTGCTCACAGGCTAGAAAGAATGTAGAAATTGATATTTTAAAATACCTACGTGCTCCATGGTTTTTCGTGTGCTCTTTCATTTAATAGTCAAAATAGTTGTGTAAAGTAGAGTTTTTTTAGCCCCATTGGGAAATCAGAAAGGCTCTCACCATGCCAGGAGTGGTGCTGACTCTGTCGGGGGCGCCAGGGTGACTGCGCTGCTGTGGCTGCACCAGGGTGACTGCACTGCTGTGGGGGCACCAGGGTGACTGCACTGCTGTGACTGCACCAGGGTGACTGCACTGCTGTGACTGCACTGCTGTGACTGCACCAGGGTGACTGCACTGCTGTGAAAGCACAAAAGTGACTGCACTAAAGTGACTGCACTGCTGTGAAAGCACCAGGGTGGCTGCACTGCTGTGACTGCACCAGGGTGGCTGCATGTGGTTCTGTTTTGTCCTGCATCCTACTGTGATATTTCCGAAGCGTGAAGAGCTCTCCGGTAGGATTGGAAAGTCCCTTCTTATGACCCACACCCTCACACTCACCAGCCAGGGGTCAGGCTCTGAGAAGAGTAAGAGAAAACCATTGGAGTTCAGGACTCTTCCTCAAATCATTCATACTAACACTAGGTTAAAGTACTGGACAAGAGAATTTTAGGGGTTAGGCAGACCTAAAATATTTGTGGGGAAAATCAATTATTCAAAGTATTATAGAAACATGAAAAAATAGATTAAAAAATTTAACTGGGCACAAATTCTCACTTTTTCATGCTCATAAATTTTCTATAATAGAAAGTAGAGTAAATTAATTATACCTAGTCTCTATTCTCTGGGAAATAGTATTGTGGGGTTGGACAGATGGCCCAGCAGTTAAGTTACTGTTCTTCAGAGGACCTGGGTTTGGTTTCTGGCACCCATATGGTGACCCACAACCCCTGATAACTCCAGTTCCATTGGCTCCAGTGTCCTGACTTCCTGAGGAGAACCATACACTTACATACATGGAGACAAAACACTCATACATATAAAATAAGTCTAACTCCTTTTTAAAAAGAAAAACAAAGAGTAATTTACAGTTCTAGAAATTAAGACGGCCCATAAAGATTTACTATAAACTAAAACTACCCAGCACCAGGCTATTACAGCGGGTTAGCATGTTTCCTTCTGAAACCAGGAGGATGGATCTTCTGTCCCCATCAACAGCTTGGTTCCAAACCATGTATGTCATTTAGTAAAATCTTTAAGGCTCTTGTGTGAACCTTATGTGGAAAGTGAGCCTAGAGCCACTTCTTAACTTTTGCATTGGGAAAGTCAGGCGACTGCATGGGTGTGTTTGATAGAACAAACCATGCTGGTGAGGACAGACGGCTGTCTTCCAGTGCTCTCAACCTTCCTGATGCTGTGACCCCTTAATACAATTCCTCATGTTGTGGTGACCCCCCCAAACCTAAAATTATTTTCGTTCCTAATTTATAACTGTAATCTTGCAACTATTATGAGTCGTAATGAAAACGATCTGATATGCAGATGGTCTTCTGTGAGCCCTGTGAATGGGTCGGTTGACCCGCCAAGGGGTCACGACCCACAGGTTGAGAACCACTGCAATCCATGCCATTACATGACCCCTTGTTTGCCTTTGTCTTGTCAGCTCACAGTTGCATCAGTGTGGCAGGAAGAAGAAAACCCAGGTCTCCAGTTCTAATGTCTGAGGCCCCTACATTGCCTGGAGGGCTGGAGCTGTGTGGGTACCACCCACAGCCAGGAGAAGCCGAGCCTGCTGGGAATATGCCTGTGTGGTGCGCTTCAACTCCTCCTGGTGACACCTTTCCAAGGAACCTTAAAGTCAGAGTATTTTGTATGGTATAGGACGGAGAAGGTTTGTCATGCTACCCAAGCTTGTGGGAACACATAATCTTTGACCTGTCTTGCAAAGCGCCTATAAGTACACAGATTCTGCGTAGGCTTTCTTTTGTCGGGAGCATTGTCTCTGACACATTGGGTTAAGGGGAGATGGTTCTCAGGATAGCCCCATCCACGAGGCAGGATGAACAAACCGAGGATCGGCACGTGCACAGAAATGTGCTCAGCGATCCCATCAAGACAGCAGTGAGCTGTGTTTCGAAGAGTCTGAGGACTGCTATTTCTGCTTCCCCTGTGCTCCAAACACACGCCTTCACCGAGGCGACACATCAGGTGTTGTGTCCCCATGTCCGTGTGCCCCCCACCCCTTCTCTCTTCTACAGCCTCTGAGGTTCCAGGCCCCAGACTAAACACAGTTCCCTAAGTAAGGACAAATCACGCATCTACAACACCTTGTGAGAACCTGGCTGTATTCGTATACAGTCATACTGGGGTCCTGAGACCCCGATATTTTGTCCTTCAGTGGACCCTTGTGATCACAGACTCTTTACTGAGAAAGAAAAAACATGGATTATGACTTCTTGGGTCTTAGAATTTGAAAAGGAAAAGAGTAATCGTGTCCCTTTGGTGAGTCCAGTTCCGGTGGTGCCTGCGGCTGGGGGTGAAAGCACACACAGCCTGCCTTCGGGCCGTCTCAGTACTTTTGACTTGTCTTGGGGTGGGGATTTATTTTTCATTTAAAGGGAAAATCAACTATATCCACACTTAAGAGAATTAGCAGCCGCTTCCTAAGTGACTTCGTAAATGAGGGATTGGACTTTTTGTTTTAAATCAAGACTTTTCTGATGTGAGGACTCAAAGGCAAACACCGTGTTCCACGATCTGTGCTGTTCTTGATTTATTTTCAGACTCAGTATGTATCTTAGGCTGATTTTTATTTTCACTTCAAACTTGATGTGGGCAGGCAAAATTAGCACTAAGAGAAAGCCTCACCCATGTGGAAGAAAAAACTATGTGTGTGGAGAATATATGTGTTTCTGACACTATGAAGATGTGTGTAATGACAGTAAAACAAGTGTGGTAATCCTTAAAGCACACAAGAACCGAGTGTGAGTGTTGGGTCTTGCACCAGCCTTTTGGGTATCCGGTGCCACATCCACTGTGCGAGCACAGGCATTCGTGCCGTGCTTTTCCTGCGTTTCATTGCTGTAGCACGGCTCACGCCCACTTTGCTATTGCCTTTGGGTTGCATTTGGAGTTGATCGCTGTGTTTCATTACAATAAACAAGTTTTAAACGGTTTTTAAAAAATGTCCATCCCTTCCTGCTCCGTCTGGACATGTGTCCACGGTCAAACACTCTCCCACCTAACAGTGTGCTGTTTACTGTCTCCAGACCGGGAAAAACGCTGCTCCACTGTTAACTTGTTGTTCCTTTATGGGCTCCTGGCACTGTGCGTGAACTCGGATGTGACCCACAATAACGTTCAGATTCTCAGCTGGCCTTGTATTAGATTTCCCTCGCCTAGTCTATGCCGCGACTCAGCTTCGCATCCCGGGATCTGGGCTAGAGCCCAGTTGTCAGGACCAGATTTCGATCCCCAGAATAGAACTCGTTCTCCTGACTCTTCATCTGTGTGGCAGCTTTGAAAACAAGGTTCTTGGTGCCAGAAAGGGAGACATTGAAGATGTGTGTCAGGTTGTTGTTAGCTGACGAGGCCAATGGACAAGTGACTTACTGAGACCTTCAGCTCTTCTCTTGGCGGCCCTACTGTCTGCTTAGTCCTACGGGCAGCTGGCCCTTAGGAAAACACCTAAGTCCCTTCGGTCAGTTGTTTTTAAATTGTTAGGGTGAACAAAGAGTATACAAATATTGAAGACTTCCCTTATCCCCAAAGCCAACTCAAAGCCAAGGAACTACAGAGTTTATTTTCAACAAATACCACAGCAGCGTTGGTCCTGTTACCACAAAATCCAGAAGTCCGTGGACAAGAACAAAGTTACCCACGATAATACAAAAAAAGGGGCCGAGGGGGTGACGGGAGGTGGTGGTTCCATGTAGCATCTTGGTCTGATTACTGCCAATTATTTCCAAGAAACCCAAGTCCCCTCCCCACCTTCCAGCGGCTAGGAAGTTTTAGTAAGTAGATGTTTTGCTTTGCCTCCCGCCCAATTAATTATTTTTCATCACTTCTTCTATCCAGTTAACGAACCATGAAACGCGAACATAGACACCGGGCTTATTGGGGCGAGCACAGCCAAGACCCCAAGAAGTGACTCCTTGTAAAATGTACTTGTCCTTCTCGAAGCAAACCAGAGGTCCTCCACTGTCACCCTAGATGAAGGAAGGAGAGTCCACGTGAGGCTTGAGCTACACCTTTAGGTTATGGATGTCATCTTTGTATTATCTTTGCAGTGGTTTCCTCTGCAGGCCCTAGGTTGTCAAATTCTCTTGGACTGAAATTCCAAGAGGCAGAGATGGGTCAGCCCACGACCAAGGCTGGTCTCTTTTCTTACCTGGCAGCTGTCAGTGCCACCGGACAAATTCCCGGCACAAAGCTCTCTGGAATTGACTCTGCCGTTTAGATACTCATAGCGGTTGCACACCTTATTCTCAATCACAGGCAGCTGGGCCTCCTTGAGATAGCCAGCACCGAAAGTCCCTGGAATAAGCAGCAAAGATGTGGTTAGAAATCCAGTACAGGAAACTTCCAGAATGACAGAGGGCAGTTACAAGAGCTCTCGCTTGTCAGGCTGGGTAGCACAAGGAAGCGCTACTATCACTTTTAACCCTCTAAGCTGTAAACATAATACAAGATGTTATGTGCCCAGTGTCTGCCGTGACATTACCGGCGTCTTCATGGTGTTTGGAGCTCTGCTGTTTGTCCACATTTTATTTCCAGCTTAAAACAAAAAAACCAAATACATTTACTATAGAGAGCTTTAAAAATGCAATTGCTACTATTGTTACATAATCTTTTTTCAGGTTCTTTAGGCTTTGTTTATCACCCATATGATATTGCTCCACTTCAAATCCAGCTGGTCCTTGTTGTAGCATAAGGATGGGGGTGTGGACCAGAGAACAATCTCAGGTGTCATTTCACAGGCACTGCCTCTCTTCCTTTTGAGACAAGGTTTCTCTCTGGCCTAGAACTTACCCTGTAGACTAGGCCGACTGGCCAGCAAACCCTAGGGACAGTCCTTGTCTTCTCCTCACCAGCACTGGGATTACAGTGTGGGCCACCATGCCCAGATTCTTTTACATGGTTTCTGGGATCAAATGCTGTTTTCCAGGTGGACATACCCAAGACTTCTCCATGTTTTCATAGATAATCCCATTCTCCAACTGGGCAAGCCCCCTTGCCAGGTAAGCACTTCACCAACTGAGTTATCTCTTTAGCTCCGTAAGAGTGTGTGTGGGGTGTGTGTGTATACATGTGTGGTGTGTGTGCATGTGCAGGGTGTGTGTGTGTATACATGTGTGGTGTGTGGGCATGTGTGGGGTGTGTGTGTATAATATGTGGTATGTGCATGTGTGGTGTGTGTGTGCTAAGTGGTGGTGTGTATGGTGGGATGTGTGTGTACGTGTGTGTGTGTGTGTGTGTGTGTGTGTGTGTGTGTGTAGGCCAGAGGTGAATCTCAGGTGTCATTCCTTGGGATGTTACCCTCCTTACATGTTTTTGAGATAAGGTCTCTCACTGGCCCGGAAAATGCTTAGCAGGCTATTCCGGGTGGCCAGTGAGCCTAAGGATCCACGTGTTTCCAGCTCCCTAGAGCTGGTGTTACAAAGACAGACCACTGGGGCTGTATTTATGGCTCTGGGGATCCAAACCAGGCCTTCAGGCTTGCATGGCAAGCACTGCACCAACGGAGCCATCTCCCCAGCCAGCCTCTGCCGTTCCAGCAATGCTCCAGTCTCCCTGATAGCTTAATGGTGATTAGTTGCTTAATGACCATGGGGTTTCCCATGAGGAGCATGTTCTGGAAACATGACAGTGGTTGCACAACAGTGTAAATGAGCTACAGGCATTTCAAACAGTCCATTTTATGTAGTGTATATTTATGGCCTCCCTAAACCATAAAAAAATAACATAGTTGTCTTTTTCTAAGAATTAGTTTTTCCAGGAACAAGCTGGGGGCATAGTAGAATTTCGTTTAATTCCTGCACTGGTGCCAGGAAGTAGGGACCTCTTTGATTCTTGACAATGCAGTTAAAGAAATGAGGCTTAGTATGGTCGTGGTGTTTACCTGGACCGTGGGACGGTGAGGTCAGTGCCCACACACTTCTTCACTGTGCTCTTTGGCCCCCTCCTGCTCACAAAGGTATGACATCTCTATCCCTACAGTTTACTTTCATCCCATGGTATTTTCTTAAGCCTCGGTTCCCAGACGTGACAGACACATATTTATGGTCAGGTTATTGTCTAGACTGCTATGGCCTTAAAAAACCCACTAGAAAACATCAGTCCTTAACAGCCTTGTGAGTGTCCACATTGCACTATTAGTAAAATGTTGTAACTTTTTAAAAAAAATGAGCTAATGTAGTAGGTGTAAATCATTCTGATTTATTCTCTAATTTCTACTTCTTTGGCACGTAGAGGAAGGGGGCGCTCATTCCCTTACTTGTTTTAGGAGTTTGTTTTTCTTCTTTGTATGAAAAGCTGCTGCTACTGTGGCCCAGCCTAAGACTGGACTCCTGCAAACCCACCAGGAGTGCCGTTGTCCAGAGGGATCTACCCAGGATTTCTCTGCAATTCTGAACAGCGCCCAGCTTTCCTCAGAGTTTTGTAACATACCTTTGCCTTGCTAGCATGGAGCAGCCAAGAAATAACGGACAGTCCCTCCCCAGACACTGTGACTAGACTTGTCTTGGGCTCAGAAAATGTGTAATCTGTCTGGTGATTGCAGGAGCTGGAAGAGACTTAAGGGTGTGGAACCAGATGGGGTAGTGGGCATTGCTTGAACCAAGTACAGGGATGGAGGCGGTACCCCTCTTAAAATACTGACTGACCGTAAATCTACCGCAGTGCCGCTACTGCTGTTCACTTTCACCTCTGGGTGACTGGAAGTTTCTGTAGTCTGTGGAGATATGCTGCCATCAGGTGGCCAAAGTCAAAAAGGCATCTCTAGCGGCTGAGGACTACTTGTAAGTGGCTTAGATCAGAAACTCGGCTGAGAGGAACCAGCAGGCCAAGTCTAGCTTTAGCAGGACCCCTGAAAATGAGGGGGACAGCAGGGACCATCCTGAATGAGTCCTCAGCCTCAACAGCAAGTCAGCGTTGGAATGTGCAAACCCGATCAAGTCCAGGGCATGAAGTGAAGCGAGGGAGAATTCCGGTCTAAGAAACTGAGAGCGCTGATTGACTTGATGCCATTATGCATATGGAGAAAAAGTGGTAAGTGAGCTAGAGTTACGTGACTCATCTCAGTCCAGTGACTATCCTGAGAATCATTTTCTCAGGAGGTGTGTTATAGGACCAGGAATGAGAATGAGCTCAGTATGGGATAAGGTCAGAAACCTGTGGTGGGGTAGGAAGGAAAGGAAATGGGCTTGGAGAATCAGGCATGGCTGAGCTCAACACTTTGGTGATGCGAGGATGGTAATAGTGATGGTGGCACTGATGGTGAGGTGGAGATGATGGTGATGGCAGAGATGCCGATGATGGTGGTGATATGATGGAGACATAGACGGTGAATTAGTGATGTTGATACTGATGATGATACTGATGAGGAACAGGGGATGGTGGTGGTGGTGGTGTCATGGTGAAGATTGCCATGATGGTGATGGATGGTGAAACAGCAACGTTGCTGACAATGGTGACGATAGTAATTGTAATGATGACACTGATGTGGAGGTGGGGGTGTTGATGATGATAGTTGTGGGTGGCAATAGTGATGGTGATGATGATGCTGATGGTGCTGAGGCAAAGATACTGGTATTGATAGTGATGGTGATGATGACAACGAAGATTTTGGTGTTAGTGTGATGATGATACTGATGTTGGTGTATTAATTATATCATAATATCAATAACCCACAATGCCCTTATAAAGTACTACAAATGGGACACTGACTCTTACAGAAGTTAGCTAACTTCTCAGTGTCAGAGGGACACTGACCTAGAACTTACTATCAGATACTTGGGAGCTGGGCTCCATCTTTAACCAAGATACTTTCCTTGTTTCCGTGAGCAAACCCATGATCAAAAGGAATGACTATTCTTTTTGGTTTCTGGCTCCAGTGCGGTCTGTTGCGGCCTGGCGACAGCTGCAGTTTGCAACCGTGGCAGGAGGCTGCCTGTCACATCTTGGGATCAGGAAGCAGCGAAGGGAGGGCTGATGCTCATGGGGTACCCATCTGGGCTTCCAGCTGTGGGCGGACCTTCCTCCTCAGTCAAACCCTGCTTGTGTGTTTGTAAGTCACAAAATCTTTCTTTGAAAGAAAGTCTTCTCCAGAACCAGCACACGCCTCACGTGTGTACTGAGAGGAGCCCATGTTTGTAAGGTGGCTTTACTGTTCCCACAGCTGAGGCAGCTTGCTGGATCTAATTGTCATTAGGCGTACGTGAAGAGAGAAGGAAGAGCCCCCCTGCCCCCGACCAAGTAAGCACAGACTCTGATAGGGGAGCCTACATGAGGTTTCTTCCAGTCCTAACCCCATCAGCTGTATCCAGACATCTGGGGGCCTTTCTCTCCTCTCCAGACAGACAGCTTGTTCCCTCTCTGACGCCTTTCACACACGTTACATGTGTGATTATTTGGGGAGACAGCTAGGTTAGCCTCAACTTTTGCTGTTATTGTGTTACATCGTATTTGAGAACTCAAAATAATAAAGTCACATGAAAAGTGTAGGCTAACTGGTGGGTTGTGCCAAAGCCCCTCCCCTGACAAAGGGACATTTGTAGGTTACGGGTCTAAGGGGCAGTCTCTCTCTTCCTCACATCTTGGTGACCGATTATAGAGATGTAGCAAGTGGCCAGACAAATCCAGAAAGGGGCTGGACCGCATTCCCATGCAGGACCTTGTACAACTTGCTCCCCACTGTTCCCTCTGTCAGAGAGCTGCAGGTCAAAGTCAGTTCATCTCACCTTGAGTTTCTCCCCAGCCAGTGATGTAGCACAGCATCCCGCCCGCAACCACGTAGTTTGGAGATGGCAGACAAGCTGGAATGACTTTATCTGTGATGGCGGCTGGGCTGAAAAGTGAGCATGAAATGTTACATCCGCTGCTC